TACATCCCGCCGGGCTCTACTGGAGTTTTCCCATAAAAATATATTGTTGGTCATTCTATTAAAAAATGGACTGTTGATTTTTGTTTGGGGGGGGTCACTATTTGCCCACAGGGGAACCCTAACAGCTGCTACCACCCCAGGTCACCTACACTCAAAACGTACAATCTCCCGAGCAGAGGCTTTGCTGCCGGATGTTGTTTATCGTCATACCCAGGACAACCATCAAGTTGTACGACTTCAGACAGTACCTTCCGCAGAATATTTGAAGAATCAAAGAAAGGGATACTAGGCTTTATTCCGGTTGTCTCAATGCAAGCGGTTCAGATACTAATACCCATTGATAACTGGCAAATTCGGTTTTGAAAAGAGGGGGAAAGGCACGAGTTGATTTCAGAGAAAGAAAGAAAGAAAGAAAGAAAGAAAGAAGTGTTTAACGTCTCCTGCCAATACCTCATAAATAATGGACTATTCCGTTTCAGATTGCGTGGATAAAACAAAACACATATCAGAGACGCTACTTGGTTTCAGTGAGAAAACGAAAGAAAGAAAGAAAGAAAGAAAGAAAGAAGTATTTAACGTCTCCTACCAATATCTCATATTTTGATCGCGTGGAAAGAAGGGAAAAGGCACTAGTTGATTTCAATGAGAAAAAGAAACAAACAAACAAGGCAACAAAGAAAGAAAGAAATGTTTAGTGCCTGTTTCAATTTCAAAATCTTTTCATTTGTATCCCTTTATTTTTTAAATTAACGAGCATTCATATTTATGATTCTTATTGCAATATTTTGTTAAAGTTGCTAAGCTCAAAAATTTAACGATAGGATATGGAGATTTCTACGACTATTTTATTCTCGTAGAACTCGCCGTGGCCTTATTCAGTCATTAACTAAAAGATTAAGATTCATCAGAAATTTAAAATAGAAAAACTATTAAATTTTCTCGGCTATAGTTTATAAATATTTCCCTTTGCTACAGCATATTGCTTATTACATTCAACAAACCGAAAATTAAAGATGTGGCCACCGATTTCAATTTGGACTGAAAGAAGATGGACTTTTGAACAATCAACATATATCCTGGAGTCTTCTCTATTTGAGAATCATACTACTGCGTGCCACACAAAAAGATTTTTTTTAGATTTACTATATGATGAAAAAAGTTAACTAACCTAAAAAAATATCTATATATTCTACTATATGTATGAACTAAAAACATTAACTAACATCCAATTTATTTAACCATTTGTTTTGTTTCAGGATGCTGCAGTTATCAAATTTTCAATGCGAGGCGATTGTTCTCTTTAATAAAGAACATCCAACTTGGAGACTGAAAAAAATGCCAAGAAATTTTTATTAGAATTCATTTTGAACAGCCTATCTAACATTTGTGCTTTTGTTATTTTAAGCGACTAAATTTCTATCCTTAGCTTTTGTTTCAAAGAACAGTAAGAAAAATTCCAAAAATTAAATAAACTGACAAATATCCTTTTTCTTTTTTTTTTCTTTTTTGTGGGATACCTTGTATTTACGTAAAAATAATTGTAGACTGTAACAACCTGGACGTTTTCATGAGAAAAAAAAACAGAAGAAAAAAGAAATTATGAGATTATATTGCAAAAAGAGTACTGAACTGTTACAGGATATCCTCCTCAAATATGAAGAAGAAACTTGAAGCAAGATAAATGTGGTTCTACAGGAGGATGCTGAGAATACCATAGATCGAACATATGAGCAACAACGAGGTTTTAGAGAAAATAGAAACAAAAAGGAAGCTTATACTTAACACCAGGAAGAGGCCAGCTGAAATTTCTGTGGAACGTAATGAGGAAAGAGAGCTTGGAAAATCTAATACTCACAGATGGCTTGAGTAAATGGATGGTAAAACAGGGTTTAGGAGAAATAACAAAGAAACAAGACGTTGTTAAAAGCTACAAAGGACAGGGAGATGTGGAGGGCCATGATCGCCTTTGTTCTGAAGGGACACGACACATAAAAGAAGAAATTCTGACAAGTTGAAGTTATTGTTGTTACTACTAGTTATTTTTTTGCAATGATGTTCCCCCTGTACAAGGCCCAAGAGCCATTCGAAGTAGACAGTTACAGATTAAGAGACACAGCTTATTGTTAAATAATAGTTTAGCAGACTATTATTTTTAGGGGGAATGGTATCTCTGATCGGACTTCCTGAGGTTGACCTTCGAGGTCAGATAGAAGGCAAAACAAGGAAGTCGATGCTGATTGGCTGAGCCAGTGTGAGAACGATAGACAGAGAAAGGGTTTTCAGTGAGTTGAGTATTGACCATCGAACAATGTAGTGTTTCCTTTCGTATCTGGAACTACTCCTCAGTGGAGGGAGAGAGCGACCCCACTGGCTAGCTAGAAGATGTATACGTCGACGTTAATAAACTAGCTGTGTTAAAATCCCTGTGTTGAAGTTCTTTTTATCTACGTACTAAAACTGGGGTTGACCTTTGAAGTCCGATGGAAGACAAAACAAGGAAGTCAATTTTGACTGACTGAACGAGCATAAGAACGATAGATATAGAAAAGGTTTTTGGGGAGTTGAGTTTTAACCGTCGAACAATGTATACGTGTTTCCTTTGTGTCTGGCTCTGCTCCTCAGTGGAGGTACAGGGCGTCGCCACTGGCTAGTTAGAAGATGTATACGTTGACGTTAATAAACTAGCTAAGTTAGAATTCCCTGTGTTGAAGTTCTTCTATCTCTGTACCCAAAACAACTAGCGCTCACCGGCCGAAGAATGCATCTTAATTATCAAATCAAGACCGTTGACCAAAAGCTCCCCAGCATGAGGGGGCTATTCAATATTATGCATATACGTGTGGAAGATAACAGTTAACCGTCGACTTGAACAGGTGAAGATTGTAGTGATCGAGTAAGCAACATCTTGGGAGTCGGTTCTACAAGGCAGGTGTGCGTGGGAAGAAACTGCTCGAGTGGAACTTACATCTCACCAAAGAATACGAAGGGAATGAGGGTGGTTCGCTACATTGGGCGTGGCATGTGAAGGTTAGGACTGGTTAAACTAAGGAGTGTAGTTCATTTGAACACTTTCGGTGGAAATAGAGCAGCGAGAGGCTTTCGAGTAGTAAATATCAAACAGTATGGATAAGATGACAGAACGAGGAATATGTAGCCATAGGGCTATCGATTTGGTTGAGTTCTGTGGCTAAATCGGTAAAACGACGTCCATGTCATGACATGTAATCCGAATTCAAAAATGTCACTAGAAACTTATTTCTGTTTCATACTGCTTATTCAAACCCGATTTGAACCTTGTGATATAAGAACACAATAAAATGGAAGAAAAATAGTCGAAAATTAATGATAAATTCTTAAATTATTTAAGAAATCCAAATGAGAAGGAATGTTGAATTTAACTTCTTTTTTTTTTAAAGGCGTCGGTGTGATTCTGAAAGGACATTAGTGCACATCCGCCATTTTCCCTTTTTTTTTCATTTTCGCAATGGTGCTAAATAATCTCTAAAAAAATAAATGAGCCGCCTTTTTTACTCGCAGAAAAACAGCCAGGGACCGCAAGAAGACATTTTTAGAGAAAATTAATGTGCGAAAAATATGGCACACATGCATTAATGCCTCGCTTAGCTTAGATGTGGCACAATGCCGAAAAGTACGGTGCACCCAATGAGGATCGAACTCACTACTAAACCGTAATTGGTCTAGCGAGACAACCCTTCTCAAAAGATATGTTTTAATTATTTTTTTTATCGCTCTGTTTCTGGTAATGTTTAAAAAAATAAAAATAAATGGTCAATACCCTTTATTTATTTATTTATTTATTTATTTTTATTGATCAGAAATGTTCGAATTTAGTTCTTGATAATTTGGCACATACTTACTTTGACCCCTGGTGAGATGTTTTTTTGTGTTTGTTTTTTGTTTTTTTTAGATATTCCGAAATTTACTGTTTCATAGATTTATTATAATTCAACATTGATTGAATAAAGTCATGCTCCCAGAAAAGTGATTTCTTTTTTTTTTTCTTTTTTTTTTTTTGGTATGCGACGAGTTGCTGAATTTATTCTGATGAACACAAAAATAAAAAAAAATTCAATTTCGAAAACACCTCATGGTAGTCTCACGGCCGACATTCGGCTCGCAGGCCGTATTTTGTGCAAACCAAAGCCATTTTTTTTTGTGAAGTTAGGTCCCAGTTTTACAAAAAAAAAAACAAAGAAAAATATTATGCAAAAAGTGTGTATGTTTAGTTTGTCCAGAAAATTTTTCTCATTTTTACAAAATAGAAATTAAATAACTCTCTTAGCATCACACCGTTGACAGTTGCGTTTTCCTGACAAAAAAAAAAGTTTTTTTTATCTGAAAAATCTATCAGAAAATCACCCACAGAAGGTGACTACATCACCTTACATCGAACAAAGCGAGTTAAGGAAAAAGAGGGAACTCATTCGATTTTGAGTGATGGTAAACGTGCTATTCTTGCAAGCCATTGTTAGTAATTTCATTCCTTGCTGAGTACTTTATTCTGCTAGCTTTGTGTTCAACTAAATATCCTTCCCAGACGCACGTTCATAACACATAGTCACTCACTATCTACTTCCCTTATTTCTCCTCCCCTTCACTTTCTAGGGAACAGCACTCTCAAGACACAACAGGGAGACCAACCGAGATAGTCAGTCTATTGTAACTGTCCCCAGATTAAATGCCAAATATTGGTTCCTTTTAATTTCGTGATACTTCATTTTTTGTCGATTTAATGACAGCGACTGTCAGGCAAAAGTTTTCGTATAAGATTTGCATTCTTTTTTTTTTCTGTTTTATTTTTATATTTTTGAACGCGGCATCACAAGGCTTCATTCAATTGAGTAGCACTCACGCCATTGAAGACACCATATCCGATGACCAGCTTCAAGAGAGACTCATTGTTCTGCCTCCAATCAAAATCCATAATCCCAAGACCTTTGTAATGCGAATCGTATTCCAAACATGAAGACTTTCCTCACCGACAGTTGAGAATAAGCCGGGCAAATGAGGACAGTCTATGGATACATCACGCAGAGAAGCCCTTCGAATGACGTTCCCATTGATAAGACCCCTGGCTGTGGACAGGTTTGTGGGTAGATTTTGATGGGCTGAATCTCTGGGGAGGAAGAAAATCTGATTTAAAGAACGGGATAATTTGGCTTTGTTTTGGAGAAGGTCGCCATTTCGGAATTAACATTTTCTTTCTGGATGATAATCGACGCCATATTGCTTTTTCTTTCTTTTCTTTTTTTTAAAATCAAGTCACGGATCTTAGCCAATACGATTAGTTTTCACAATACAAAAGAAAGCCACATCAGGCGTGTTTATAGAAGTCTCATATGATATTAGACAATGACGCTCATCAAAAGTAATTTTAGTAATCAATTTTCGCCAGGACATTAACACTTTATGTTTTAATCTGAAGCTCTCTTTGATGTAGGCTTGCGGCCGCATCACGTTGAAACACTGGTTCACGTCCGATTACCGAAGGTTAAGAAACGTCAAGCCTGGTCAGTACCAAGATGGGTGACCGCTTGGGAATACCACTTGCTATAAACATGGATGGAGTAATGTGCTTACGTTTACATCACGTTGAGACCGAGGTTCAAATCCGATCACCGAAGTTGAGCAATGTCTGGCCTGGTCAGTATCTAGATGGATGACCGCTTGGAAATATCAGATGCTGTAAGCTTGGATGTGTGTGTGTGTGTGTGGGGGGGGTAATGTCTTTACGTCTACATCACGTTGAAACACAGGTTCACATTCGATCACCGAAGTTGAGCAACGTCGAGCCTGGTCAGCAACAACATGGGTGACCGCTAGGGAATACCAGGTGCTGTTTGCTTGGATGTTCGGGTGGAGTAATGTGTTTACGTCTAGATGACGTTGAAACACCGGTTCACATCCGAGCACCGAAGTTAAGCAACGTCAAGCCTGGTCAGTATCTAGATGGATGGCCGCTTTGGAATACCAGGTGCTGCTTCCTTGAATGTGCAGGTGGGGTAATATGTTTACGTCTACATCACGTTGAAACACCGGTTCATGTACGATCGCCGAAGTTAAGCAACGTCGAACCTGGTCAGTACTAAGATGGGTGACAGCTTAGGAATAACGGTTGCTGGATGTGCGGGTGGTGTAATGTAAATAATGGCTCGGAATTGTTAACCAAAGAGCCGAGTTCTAATTCCCCTTGAGTTCGTTATAATTACCTACGCGTAAATACCTTTAGGAAAGGCATGAATCCACATTTTCTCTCCCAAAAGCTATGGGTTAATTAATAAGACTTGTACTACTAAACCATTATTATCTGCAAAAAAGTTCTTTCAAATCTAAAAATATTTCCTAGCTTTAAATAACCTGCAGAGTGTTGACAAACCGTAAAAAAAAAAAAAATTAATTTCTTTGTTGTAAACAAAGCTAGCATAAAAAATAGTTGCGTTTATAAAATTATGCTGATGAAATAACTCGATCCTTATTAATTTTCTCATTATACATACCACAAACCTGTGTATAGTGATTTTCCAAGCGTAGCTTAGATGTGGCACAAGGTCGAAATTAGGGGGCACCCAGTGAGGATCGAACTCACTATTCAGTTGTAATTGTTCTAGCGAGCCAAGCTAGGAGGGTACCTCGAGGTGGTGTAATGGTTAGCAACCCTTACACCACCTCGAGGTACCCTCCCCAATCCTGTGTATAAGACGCAGCGTTTAATCCAAAATTGTACCCAAACGTATTATACTTTAGTTTAGAATTTAGTAACTGGAGCTAGGAATGACTTTTTTTTTGGTTTTAAGGCCTCCAAATCAAAACTGCGCTTTATTGATCGTCTGAGGGAACCCTTTCTGTCTTCAGTCAACATGGCTGATGCTAACCTCTTGGAGAGTTACTCGTTGTGACTTCTTGGGCTACAGTTTTTCACTGATATGAAGATTGTATCGAATCGATTGCTAGGTCTGCTGTTTGGTAGGTTTGTACATTGTGTTGTGCTAGACAATCTTCTCTCCGGAATCTATCTTGCATCTCTACAAGTCAAGCATTCACCCATGCGTAGTATTGCTGCCACATATGGTCTGGACGAATCTGCAATGTTATTGGTCCTGAATTGGCATCTCGGCTACACTTATTTTCCCACCGCCGTAATGCATCTTTCCTGTGCCTTTTCTATAAATATTTTCATGGTAAATGTTTTGAGAAACTATCCTCCATGTAAATATCCACAGAGGTTTCATTTTTAAAAGTTGTTACTTTTATTCCCCACCTCCCATAGGCAAATTGTACATATGGGGACTAGTTAGAGACTTTGAGGTATTATGGTGACTGCAGTAAGCATGTTAAGTAAGAATGTGTTGTTTTGGTGTAAGGAATACTGTGGTATGTTTGTGCCAGTAATTGTGGCTAGCTAAGTTTAAAATAAGACAGATTGAATAGCAGCCTTCCTTATCCTTTCTCTTGGCCTTGTGCCACATTTTTTATTTTCAAAATAAATATTACTATCCTCTATGGTTCCCAAAGTCTAGGAACTTAAGCGCAGTACTAGATTGGCGACAAGGTCTCATCATTTTACAATGGAAATGGCTAGATGTAACCGTAAGTTCTATGCTAACAGTTTCTTCTCTCGCACTTCTCACCTGTGGAACTCTCTTCCAGTTTCTTGCTTTACAGTCAGGTTTTAGCTTCAAAAATTTAAATACAACGTCACTCGTTATCTCCTTAAATTCTGTTTTTTTTTAATTGTTCTCTCTCGTTAATAATGTTTTTTGTTATATTCTTTTACACTCAGTCGCCTCCCTTACACGAACACACACACACACACACTTGAGTGTTAGTGGCTTTATTGCCTTGCTTGGGATGAAATGATTTAAAAAAATGTATTCCAGAAGTGAAAACGTACAAAATCGGCGTTTGAAGTGTCCAACTGGGACGATCTTCCATCCTCAGATCTCGGGTACCCACGAGCAGAGAAAAATAACCTGGATTCCTTACAGACAGTCCTTTACAGGAATGCACAAATAATTTCGAAATAAATAACGAAGATTGTCACAAAAACATTAAATAAAACAAACAAGTTATTTTATTTCAATGTGCATTCGCGATTTAGTGGTCACATACCTAAGAATTATTTTCAGGTTTTTGGAATTCTGACGAAACACAAAAGTAAACAAAATTATTTGATTTGTTTTATTTTGGTATTTTTTTAAAATTCTTTTCTAAGCCTGGTCAGTATCTAGAGGAAGGATAGGGAAGGCTGCTATTCAATCTATCCTATTTTAAACTTAGCTCGCCACAATTACTGACGCAAACATACCACAGTATTCCTTACACCAAAACAACACATTCTTACTTAACGTTACTGCAGCCGCCATATTTTGATAGTTTTTTCTTTTTTGCTTTAAAATTAGGTGCGTTTTATACATAAAAATAAGCTTTTTTTTTTTCTTAGAATTTCTCGGCTTTTTCAACTGCGTCACAGAAGGAATATATCAGCATGTTAACAGTGTGAAACAATTCATTCAATAGAATTATTTTGTATTTTTGGCTTGCAGTCACATTACTCTTAAATGAAAAGAACAATAAATCTTCAGCACACTCTTAAAAAACAGTTACCCATTTTAAAAATCACAAAGCGTGAAAAAGCACTGTAAATGGGTAAATAAAAGAAAAATGTCATTTCTTATGCATATATATATATATATATATATATATATATATATATATATATTATTATTATTATTATTATTATTATTATTATTAATTAAAGAATATCAAACACTTAAAATCCATAGGTAATAATTCTTATTTCATCAGAGCTCTAAAAAAGCAGCTCTCAATCTTCAAGGCCTACAAACAAATCCTTTTTTAAGTGTTTGATACTCCCTACTGATCTTTTCTTTTCTTTTCTTTTTTTAAGCATTTCACCCTAAGCAAGACGGGGGTGCCACTAGCTTGCAAGGGATTACAGAGAGTGAGAGCAAGAGTAAAGAGGGGTATTTGAGGAAAGGATAAAGTCCAGGATCAGGATCAAGGCATCAAAAGATGTCGATTGACATTGTATTTGAATATTTGAAGAGTATAGCTATCAGGGAAGCAAGTAGGAGAAAAGGAGTTCCACTGTAGAGAAGTGCGAGAGAAGAAGCTGTTGGAGTAGAAGAGGTGGTTACATTTAACTGTTTCGACAGTGAAAGGGTGGGACCGATATGCCAACCAAGTAGAACGCTTGAATTCCTGCAGTTGGGACATTAGTGAAAATAGCTCATCAGAGCAGATGACATGAAAATATTTTTAGAAAAGACAGAGGGAAGCGACGCTACGTCTGTGAGAAAGTGTCTGTAGACGAGATGCCAGATCAGGACCTATCACATTGCATTATATTTTGGAATAGAGTTTGATTTAGGAACTTGTAAATTGTGCTTTCTCCTCAATAAATTCTCTTCCGCTCCCTGTACCCCCCTTGCATCTTAGTGGCATTATCGCCTTGCTTGAGGTGAAATGATTTACCTCCCCCTATTTGTTCTTTTTATTATTTACCTTTTCAAGTGGAAATAAATTTTAATCGATCAAGTAGAATACAAGAACAGGTTCCAGGAAGATAGAAGATGGCGATAATGCCACAAAGACTCAAGGGGTTGCTGGAAGTGAAAGAGAATGAGAAGACTTTAGTGAGGGAAAGGACAATAAAAGAACAGATTTCGGGAAAATAGAAGATGGCGATTGACGTTGCATTTAGTTTTTTGTAGGTGACAGGGAAGTTAGAAATTAGAAGAGGATTCCAAAAACGAGTAAAGAAACTATTAGAATAGAACATACGGTTACAGTTGGCTAGGTCAACAGTAAAACAGTGAGACCTAATCGCCAATCTAGTAGTACGCTTAAATTCATGTAGTCGAGTCACTGAAGAGGAAAGCTCATCAGAGCAATTGCCATGAAAATATTTGTAGAAAAGACAGAGGGGAGTCACAGCGCATCTGTGAGAAAGTGGCTGTAAACGAGATGCCAAGTCAGGAGCTATAATATTGCATATCCGACTCTGTATATTGTCTAGGACCTCAAGATGAACAGCGTGGGCACCAGACCATATATGGCAGCAGTATTCTATCCAAGGACGAATGGTAGATTTAAAGGATGCACTTAGGCGAGAAAAACCTTCTTGTACGACACAGAGAACTAACTTTCCTTGCGGTAGATGTTGCTTGTTATTATTTAATTACATTTTAGTAAATAGTACCAAATCTAATTACATTTTAGTAAAAATATTACCAAATCTAATTTCATTTTAATAAATATTACCAAATCTAATTAGTAAATAGTACATTTTTTCATTTTAAAAATATTACCAAATCTAATTACATTTTAGTAAATAGTACCAAATCTAATTTCATTTTAATAAATATTACCAAATCTAAAATTACAAATCTAATTAATTTTAGTAAATAGTACCAAATCTAATTTCATTTTAATAAATATTACCAAATTTACATTTTAAAATAGTACTAATTACATTTTAGTAAATAGTACCAAATCTAATTTCATTTTAATAAATATTACTAAATCTAATTACATTTTAGTAAATAGTACCGAAACTAATTTCATTTTAATAAATATTACCAAATCTAATTACATTTTAATAAATAGTACCAAATCTAATTACATTTTAGTAAATAGTACCAAATCTAATTACATTTTAGTAAATAGTACCAAATTTCTAATTTCATTTTAATTTTAAAATATTACCAAATCTAATTACATTTTATTTTAGTAAATAGTACTAAATCTAATTACATTTTAGTAAATAGTACCGAAAACTAATTTCATTTTAATAAATATTACCAAATCTAATTACATTTTAGTAAATAGTACCAAATCTAATTACATTTTAGTAAATAGTAAAGATAATTTCATTTTCTAATTAATTACATTTTAGTAAATAGTACCAAATCTAATTTCATTTTAAATAAATATTTCATTTTAACCAAATCTAATTACATTTTATTACATTTTACATTTTAAAATATTAGAAATTTCTAAATATTACATTTTAGTAAATAGTACTAAATCTAATTACTAATTTCATTTTAGTAAATAGTACTAAATCTAATTACATTTTAGTAAATAGTACTAAATCTAAT